ATCAAAACTGAAAATAGGATGTGAACCCTGTGGATTCAAAAAAAGCTCCCTTTCCTCCCTTTTTAAAATTTGATAGACTGGAATAGATACAGAAAATTCATGTAGCTAACTCCCATCTAATTTGTGATTAAAATGTAGTTGATTGAGTGTTTTCTTCTAAATGTTTTATGAGAGGGGATGGTGGGGATTAGAAAGAACTAGCCTCTAAACATGCACTTAACATTTCAAATTGGAAATATGTTTCAATTGTGTACTTGTGAATGAGTTCACAATAGATTAAAATGCAGTTTGACTAGAGTTTGGGAGCAATCATATTACTCTTGAGTCTCGGATTGAGTTTGGGGGCTTGAATTGCTTGGATCCTTCACCAATCTCATTCCGTGAATTGAAAATTGAGTGCTTTGTTATAATTAGAGGTTGTTAAGTATGGTGTTGTGTTAATGTATACCTAAATCCGTTCCAGTAAGATGGTTTTCTCTGTATGCAACTTATTTCTTCAGTTTTTTTATCATCTTGCTCATTGAGTGTTGTCCATATCATTGTTTCTTTTTCATTAAGTGATTTCCAGTTAGTGATTGTTTCACTCTATTCCTGAGTTGTAGTGGTTTGTCCTCTAATGCAGTTAGTTACTCAGTTATTCATCTAAATGAGTAACTTTCGATAGTTTGGTTCCTAGGAAGGTGAAACCATCAGGATAAACGTGAAGAACAAATCATCTAGTGGAACGGGCATGCTTTCTGCTGCTGTTCAATCAAAGGCCATTGCCATTGCGCCACCTCCTAGCGGAGCTAACAAGATCAGGTCTCCTCTTCCACCCCCTCCGAATGATCCAGCTATTTCTTGGAAGACTTCTACCAATGCCAGTATTGCACTCAAGGGGCCAAATGGAAGTTCTAGGCAATCCAGTGATCCATTTTCCAATCTCTCTCAACTTGAGGTATTGTCAGTTCCTTGCCATTTATAATACTTCCTAGTATTGTAGTTCTTTGCATATTGCTAAACCATAAGTCAATCCAGAGATCCTTTGTTAATGCCCCCTTCAATTGGTGGATAATTGCTCATATTTTTCTTGATCGACAAAATCATGTGGGAGACGTTTGGGATTGTTTGTCTACTTCTTTTTTAAAAACTGATAATGGTGGGCTTTGCTGTTCGGACCAGCTCGTGTGTACCTCAACTGTTCCACGGATACTTGCTACCCCCTACAACACAGGTACCGGGTAATTCTGTCCACCAAGGTTTAGGCAAATGGAAAGAAATCACCTAGTGTTCTTTTGTCTTCTTCATTTTAACTATTGTTATCTATTCTAGTAAACAATCCTTTTGCAAATATTGAAGACAAATTTTAGGATATGGAAGGCTTGAAATAGAAGGTGTTTTCACACTTCTAGTCTTTGTGAGAAGGTGTTGATCTATTCAAAGAAGAAAGACAAGCATCTTAGCGGATGATTCAGTTACATAGGTTTGAAAATTATAGCTTTGGCATGTGTCATCAGTCATGTTTTATTTATCTTGAACTTTGGTGATATATGTGATAGACATTTTTTAATTACTCTTCCGTTCACTTTTACTCGTCACGTGAAAAGTAAAAGTGAACGGAAGATGTATTTGCTACCCACTGCATCATGAACAATCCTTTCATCTTTAAGTGAGCAACATTTCCTTGTGGATTTCTACAGAGGAGCCTTCCTTCGGCCACTGGATCTGGTTCGAGCAAGAAGACCACAGCAGCTGGATGGGCAGCATTTTGATATTTTGAGCGTGTTAAATATTGACGAGACATATGCTTGTTGTTGTACTAGGATAGAAGACTATAGTCTATATATCCAAATTAAAGGGCAGGTTGGGTACACTAAGCTCCCTCTAGGGTTTGGAGAAGAGCCAGGTCACATTTGGCATACCCTGCATTTCTACTAGTGGTTCTTTCCACAATTTGAATCCGTGATCTCCTAGTCATGTGCCGTTGTGCCAAGGCTCCCCAAATTTGAAAGAATGAGAAAATGTTTATGTTACTAGTTCCCCATTTCTTGTAAGATAATTGTGTTTATACTTGCTTGACATGTCTTAATTGTACTCTTCTGCTCTAAATCTAATAAAAGATGAATATTTATTTTACACAAATGTTCAGAGTGATTTATTATTTTTTAAACCCCTTTCGAGGAGCTTCCAATCCTTTTTTGCTCTCTTTGTGATTTGAATCCGCAATTCTTAATATTGTGGTCTTTATTCTTACGAATACGAGGTTTTTGGGGTATTTTTAATAATATCTATTCTTGTTCCTATTAGAATCACTCATTGTTGTGAAATAGGGAATGAATCACATTGGTTATGAATGGGTGCAATGAACCTCATTATTCCCTAAGTTCAAGTTGCCATGTGATATGTTTCAAGTGTTGTTAAGTTTAGTGATATCGACAATTCTATATTGCTCGGGCTTAGGTGCAAATAATTTAGTATAATAAATACAAGACATTTTTAATACTTACGAAATGTTAGTTATTAGGTCATCAAGACACTTCATGTGTTTCTGGCTATTCATATGACACGTTAAATGATATAAATCTTAGATAAAAATCTACATCACACTCAAACATCCTTGTTGATGCTTCTTCATTATGAGAACATCGAAAAAAATTTGGCACGACATAATATCTCACATCATGTGAATTTTTTCAACTCTTTCACCTCTTACTAAGACTATATTCAAAGACTAAAACCACATATATTAACTTTTCGAATTTAAGAATAAATCGTTGCTCTAACAACTTTACATTAATATAATTCCTTAGGGATGAACAACTATATACATAAGTTCGTGTCAGCATCGCCTCAATATTTGTTATGTTTATAAAATATTTTAAATTATTGATTATTATGATTTATAGGACTTTTTCGATAATTTTTATAGGATTGAAAAGAAAGTAAAACAAATAAATTGAATAAAAAAATACTGAATTTCCAAAAATACTCTTAGTTACACATGTCATGTCGACAAACAACTATTTGCTTCTAACCGCTTCTATCTAGTATCAATATTAAAATATAGTGACAAGTGAACATCGTGCAAGGAAGACAATATATCATGAAAAAACATTTTAATTGTTTTTAAGTCATTAAAGTGGATAAATTATTTCTTGTCAACTAACACAAAAATTAGTTGCTCTCATGTACATTTTTTTATTTGACAGTCTTTATTTTTTTAATTCATAAAAGTAGTTGATATGCTCACGCACTTTCATATGATCAAATGCGCACATTGTGCAATTTATCTTTTTGAATCAAAATTTCATCCCATCTATTTTCGTGTTGAATTAAGATTGAATGAACGCTACCATCTATTCTTAAAAAAAAAAGACAAATCCTATTGCTTTTCAAAGTTTTTATAAATTAAAAAATTGAAAAAGCAAGACATATTGGGTGACGTGAATCATTTAATTGAACAACACATGTATTTTTTTTTATATTCTAAGATCGGTTATTTGAACGGTTAGTGATAATTGACATGAATATATACAAATGATCACGATAGTAATATAAAAATATGTGCCTTTTTAACTTTCCCTCAACTAATATTGACATAATACATAAACATGACCCTTAACTTGGCGTAAGCTGATAACTATGACTTTTAACTTTGGGTGTGCACAAGTAGGCACTTAAACTTGTATAAAATTGAACAAATAGACACATTCGTCCTACATGGCAATCTATGTGGCAATTTTGTGTCCAACGTGTATTATGTCATGTAGACACATGTGTCTATTTGTTTAATTTTATACAAGTTTAAGTGTTTACTTGTGTACACTCAAAGTTGGAGGGCATATAGTTGTCCGCTGAAGCCAAGTTAAGGGTTATGTTTATGTATTATGCCACTAATATTTGTGTTCTCCAACTTTGACTGTGCACGTACAAGCCAGGGCCGACTCAACAACATTGGGGGCCTAAAGCGAAACTGAAGAGAGGATCCCTAATATTTTATTTTTTTCATCATATATACTTTTATTTAAAATCTACTTTTCTAGATATTTTAGATGCGAGTCATTAGATTATATTTTATAATCAATTTGTTTTAATAAATCTTTTTCAAATGGTAATATAACTAATATATTCAATCTCTCTTGAGACATTGTTGATCTTAAAGAAAATTTAATCAATTTTAATTTCGAAAAAACTTCTTTCGGCCGAGGCAACGGATACAAGAACTGTTAACAGTATTATAAATAATATGTGTATTTCGAAAAGAATCAAGTCTTTTTATTTGATTGAGTATCTTCATTAGATCATTATCTTCTACTTGTATTATTTCCCTTAACACTTTTAATTCAAAAAATAAATCTAAACCATCTATTACATGTTAAAGAAAGTTCAATGTTAAGACAATATTTTTAAAATTCTCATCATCTAGTGATCTCAATATTTTACCACTAAATAAGAAATCAAAAATATTTCCATATGCTTCAATTGGTTCAAATCTATGTTGAAGTGAAAAAATAGTTTGATCTACCCTACATATATAAAACAATAAACTCTAAAAGATTCTTCAAGGGACTTAGTGATTTCGCTATCTATATTTTCATCAAATTGTTTCTTAAGAAATTCAGGTTTATTTTCATCTCATATGCAATTTTCTTAGCAGAAATCATAACATTCATAGTACATATAATTTATTTTTACAAAAATAAATAAATATATATAAGTAATTGTTTTTTCAAAAATGGGGCCTCAAAATATATGGAGCCACAAGCAATGGTTTTAGTGGCCTAGGGGTTAAGACGACCCTGATACAAGCAGACAATTAAACTATTCAAAAGTTGAACAAATAGACACACTTGTCATATGTGTCTACTTGTTCAACTTTATACAAATTTAAATGTCTATTTTATCAGCTGAAATCAAGCTATAAGATACATTAATATCTTATACCTAATATAAACACGCCCAACTATTAACGAGTGACATAAATATACACAAAAAAAAAAAAGAATAAATAGGGAATGGGAGGAAGCTAATCCAATAGCTTTCCAAAATCACTTGTAACCAGAGAAACTGCCGGTTAACTGTCTTCTTCTTCTTTCCCCCATTTTTTTACTTCTTACTTCAAAAAACAACAACAAAAAAAAAGAAAAAGAAAGAGAAAAACATTACTACATAATAATACAAATTCTATTTGTCCATATTTCATATATATAAACAAAAAAATTTACACCATTTTTAATCAATCTGAATATTATTGTATCTCTCAATCTTCTTCTCCATCACAAAAGATTTGTGGGTAAGCTCAAATATTGTTTTTTTCATATTGTTTTGCATTTATGTTATTTAATTTTCTTATGCTATGCTTTTTATTAATCATGTGGGCAAGTTTGTTATAATATGTGTGTGGGTATTTTGTTTTCTCGGTCTTTATAATGGAATAAAAATTTGTCAAAAATTGCAACTTTTTTTCATAATTTGAATTGTGAGTTTCCAAGATTGGTAATTTTCCTTTGTGGGGTTGCTTTGATTTGAAATAAAGTTTTGATCTTTGATGAAGATTGCATCTGTATTAGTGATGATTGGATTTAGAGGCGGGAGGCGGAGTCAGGATTTTTAGTTTATGGTTTCCGAATCACAATCTATTTTGGTTCTTTTTTCATATTCTTTTGTAATGTTGAGATTGGATTTATGAATTCTTCATTTGGGTATGAAACAAGTGTGATGACTGATTTGGGTGTGGGTATTTTGTTTGGATTCTTCTAAATAGTGTTAAAAGTTAGCCAAATTTGCATGTATTCATAGTTTCAAAATGGATATAATACATAAGTATGTCTTTTAACTTGGCTTCCGCTGGCATCTACGCCCTCCAACTTTGAGTGTGCTTAAGTAGACATTTAAACTTGTCCTATGTGGTGTTCCACGTGTATTATGTCACGTAGAATGTTTTATACAAATTTAAGTGTCTAATTGTGCACATCCAAAGTTGGAAGACATAAATGCCACCTGAAGCCAATTGAAATGACATATTTATGTTTTATGACTTTGAAGATCCTCAGCAATGAATGTGAGTTTGAAAGATTGTTCTTTTTCCTTGGTGGGTTTGTTTTGCTGATGATCTGAATCACAATCCGTTTTGGTTCTTTTTCCATATTCTTTTGTAATATGGAGATCAACAACAACAAACCCAATGTAATCTCATAGGTGAGGTCTAGAATACGGAGATCGAATATATGAATTCTTTATTTGTGTATGAAACAAATGCGATGTGGGTGTGAGTATTTTGTTTGGATTTTTCAAAATAGAGTGAAAAATGAGTTTGCAAGTTTGGGAAAATCTTGATTTTGGTATGTTCAGCATTTAACTAATGATAAAAGAAAATGACTTTGTAGCACTTATAGTTTGAATATGAGTTTGCAAGATTCTTCATTTCCTTGGTGGGGTTGTTTTAATTTGCAAGAAAGACTTAATCTTTGATGAAAATCACCTCATTAACGAAGATTGGATTGGATCGAATCAGCTGCTTTCATAATCATATTTTGAGTATGTTTATGAGTGGAATAGTTTATTATTTTTTCATGATATGTTTTGTTGAGGTTCTGCGTTTGGTAATATCTTGATTTAGGTGGAAACCAGACTAAAGTTGGATTTAACTAATGAGAAGAAACGATGGCTTTGGTATGTTCTGCATTGAGTTGATTCCTATATGTGTTTTTGGTAATTATGATGGTTCGAAATGAAATCTTGAACTCAGTGGAACAAAAAAATGTTGGAGTTGACTACTGTTTTTGTGAAAAGCAGATGATTTTGATATGTTCAGCACTGAATCCATTTCGTCATTGTTCATTTCCGTCTGGCCAAAGTGTTTGGTTCCGATATAAGTTTCTGTTAGTTATGACAGTCCAGAATAATTTTGATTTCGGTGGAATACCTAAAAAAAAAAGTTGGATTTAACTGCTGTTTATTGTCAAAAGAACTGATGACTTTGGTATATTTAATTGTTAATTTTATGCTTTTGCTTATGTGTTTGTTCAACAATTTGTTAATAGGTTTTCACTTCGGAGGGTATGATTGTAAGTCGGATTACAATGAGTATCTGGTTCGAGGATTCCTTATGTGTTGCTTCATGTGCTGAGGATATGTGAATGGATTCAGCAAGAGGTTGGTTCCAAAAATTGTCATCAACCAAGAAGGATCCAATGGCCGGTGATGGCAAGCCACCGTCAGCCGAAGAGGCTTCCAATATAACAAAGCAAAGGGTTGCTGCAGCAAAACAATACATTGAGAAACATTACAAGGAGCAGATGAAAAATTTGCAGGAGAGAAAAGAGCGGTACGACAATAGATGATACTTTTGTTTTACGACTTCCCTTTAGTTACTAGACTTTCTCCTTTATGCAATATTACTTTGTTCATTAATTTCATTAGAGACATGTTCCTCCATAGACGGAGAGGCATGCAGTTGCCATGATGAGTTGAAATTCAACACTTGAATCTAGATTCAGATATGGGCATGCTGTTTTCTTGATTTAAATGTTACTCCCTCCGTTTCAATTTGTTTGTCTTAATTTCCTTTTTAGTCTGTTTAAAAAGAATGTTTCTTTCCTTTCTTGACAACTCTTTAATTTCAATTTTCCACGTGACATTTTTAAGACCACAAGATTAAATGCCATTTTGGTACATTCAACATATCTTTAGTTTACGACCACAAGATTCAAAAGTCTTCTTTACTTTGTTAAATTGTGTCAAGTCAAAACCAGACTATCAAATTGAAATGGAGGGAGTACATCATTATAACTCTTGTATAATTGATATATTGTGAAATAGTCGAACTTCTCAAATAGTTGTGGTGGATCAATTTAGCCGACTTCAAATATAGCAAAGAGACTGCAAGAAAATTATATCATGTGCAATATAGCAATATTAAAGATGTTAGTACCAGCCATTCCTTTGAAATACTCTGCATGGATGGTTAGCCTCATTATATTATTACAAGAATGAGCTTTACGGGATTTTTCTGTTCAATAATTATATTCTTGACATATTTGAACTTTCTGGCATCCATAATGCTTTAATTTCTATTTGTTTCCTAATTCTCATTTGGCCTGCAGTCGAGTTTTACTAGAACAAAAGCTGGCAGACGCCGATGTCTCACAGGAAGATCAAACTAACCTACTGAAATTTTTGGAAAAGAAGGAAACTGAATACATGCGACTCCAGAGGCATAAAATGGGAGCTGATGATTTTGAATTATTAACGATGATCGGAAAGGGTGCATTTGGAGAGGTAATGTTTCTATCAAAAACATCTAAGTTCCTGTTCACACATCTGTTCCTAGTATAATATTTATTCTGTTACTAGTGTAATTTTCTGTTCTCCGGATCCTCTCTTTTTGCCTTAACTCTGTACTTGGAAGTAAAACATTCGGATGTAAAAATAATAAATATTACACCTCCCTATTTCCCAATGCTCCGAGAAAATATTGACGATAATTGCATGTTAGTGCTCCTCATGGTGAATCATCCGAATATTTTAAGGCATCAGTATCGAGAATCTTTTGTAATATGTCATGACAATAACAACAACATATCCAATGCAATCCAACAAATAGGGTCTGGAGAGAGTCCTTACCCTCCTACCTTGAGAGGTAGAGAAGTGGTTCCCAATAGACCCTCGTCTCAAGGAAAAAGAAATAGAGGAAGTAAAGAAGCCATAACAAAATACTATAGGAAGCAAGACAAAATATTCTGGAAAAAGGACAATAACTACAACACAATAATACAACAATCGAAGCACATGAAACTACGGGACTATGGCTACTAGTGTGGAAGGATAATATGTTGTGGCAATGCAATTTATATTTGTGGTTTATGGTACTAATATCCTGCATTTATCTATATCCCTCGAGGTATATTTGTGGTATTAATATTCATAGGTTAAATATGTTGTTAATGCCATGCTTCTAATGGTACTTAAAGCTAGTTCTTTGTCGGAAAAAAAGCCAATCTGCATGATTGGTTTCTCTATTATTACAGGTCAGAATTTGTAGAGAAAAAACAACTGGTCAGGTATATGCAATGAAGAAGCTAAAGAAATCAGAAATGCTTCGTAGAGGACAGGTACGTGGAGTATATGGTCATCAAATGCAACTCCCAATTCTACCGCTATATTTACTGAGTCTTTAGCTTTTCGTATTAGGTTGAGCATGTGAAAGCTGAAAGGAATCTTCTTGCGGAGGTGGACAGTGATTGCATTGTCAAACTGTATTATTCTTTCCAAGATGACGATTATCTGTATCTTGTTATGGAATATCTACCCGGTGGGGATATGATGACACTACTCATGAGGAAGGATATATTGACTGAAGACGAAGCCAGATTTTATGTTGCGGAAACTGTTTTAGCAATTGAATCTATCCATAAACATAACTATATACACAGGTGGAGATTTGATCTTATATGCTTTGTACTTAGCTGCCTGTTTGGACAAGCTTCTGAGAAGTTTAAAGTGTTCTTTTCTTAACAAAAAATGCTTATTTTAAAAAAATAAGTGTGCTTGAGACTTTGAGTAGTAAGAAAAGCTGTTTTTCGGAAGCTAAAACAACTAGCTTTTTGCTTAAAACACTTTTGGAACATTGACCAAGAACAAAGTACTGCTCTAATATTGCAAAAGTTCTTTTCAAATTAATTAATCAAACACAAATTGCTACTCTCCATAAGTACCTTTTGGAAAAGCAGTTCTGACAAAAAAACGCTTTTCAAACTAAGCAGATTTTGGAAGCTTGGACAAACAGGCTATTCATTTGTTCAGACTTCTTTAAAGCACACTAACTTTGTGCAGCCACCTTTTATTTGTTACAGAGACATTAAGCCTGATAACCTGCTTCTCGATAGATATGGTCATTTAAAACTATCAGATTTTGGACTATGTAAGCCTTTAGACTGCAGTACTCTTGAAGAGAAGGATTTCTCAGTGGGGGATAGTGCCAATGGAGGTTCCAAGAGTGAAAGCCCTACGGCTCCCAAACGCACTCAGCAAGAGCAGCTAGAAAACTGGCAGAAAAATAGGAGGATGCTTGTAAGTTTATCCCCATGTGGGTACTCTCATTCACTGTACTTTTTCCATTTCTCATATTTATTGCCTTTATTCTTCATAATTAGCCATCAAATCTTAGTCTCTGTATGGCTATTAATCTTCTTAAACCGTCGGGGCATCTTCATCATTTTGATGAGATGTTTGTTTATATCTATATATATATTCTCATGTGCTCGTCTAGTGAAGGATTGGAAAGGAAGTTCTTTTCCCCATATTCTATTGTTGTGTTGAGTTTCTTCTTTATTGTAATCTTTGTTAGTTTTTGTGCTCCTAGTTTTTATACTAGAAGAGCTTGTTGAATTCTGAGGGATACACCAATACTAGGTGAAATATCCTTAAGGACCGCGTCTTTGACACGCCTCAAGCTTTCAAGAATACTTTACAGTTTCTGAAAGATTTCCAACAGACACTACTTCACATCTTATTGGAGTATGTCATTCTCTGATCGGTAATGAAAATGAAACAATTGTTGTCTGTTAACTTGCTGACTTAAGCAGGAGCATTCTTTTATGTGGTTTTGTTTAGATTTTGAGTGTTCGCTTAAGCTGTTCTCTTCATATATTTAATTCTAGTTGTTTGCATAATCCAGGCCTATTCTACAGTGGGTACACCAGACTATATTGCTCCGGAGGTCCTGCAGAAGAAAGGTTATGGAATGGAATGTGACTGGTTAGTACACTTCTGTATTTTATAATGAGGACTTTGAATGCACATTTTTGCTAATATTTTGGGAACGTTTATCTTATGTCCTTCATAATAATAGCTCTTGTTGTAAAATTTCTAGTGGTTCTTTCACCCGTTATGCCCAACCTCTTCTATTCACTCTTGCCTCGTTCTCCTCTCTTTCTTTTTTTCTGGTTTTTTTTTTAAGGGAGGGGGTAGATTATAGTTGATATGCTTTATATTTTTCTCCTCTTTGTATCCATTTGCTGTAGATTTGATTTTATTCTGCAGGTGGTCGCTTGGCGCTATTATGTATGAAATGCTCATCGGTTATCCGCCTTTCTATTCTGATGATCCCATGTCAACTTGTAGGAAGGTGATCAATCATGACTACCTGTATATTTTCCATCATTTTTTTCTTTTTGGCTTTCTTGATGCTTAGATTCTATTGATTCTCCTTATCAAATAAAAAGTTAAATGTCAAAAACACATCAAAGCTATCACTTTTTCGCGATTTTCATACCTCAACTATCACTCCCTTTGTATTTAAACACACCTCGATGCTGAGTTGGCCTACATGCTCTTGTGTCGATTGTGAACAAATATTTGGCCAACTCAACATCAAGGTTTGAAACTGCGGAAAGGTGATAGTTTAGGTAGGTAAATAGAACAATGGATAGTTGAGATATGAAATTCGCGAAAAGGTGATAATTTAGGTGTGTGTTTTACCATTAACTCTAAATAAAATAAACTAGATTCTATTGATTCTTCAAATAGTTTTCTCTCTTCACAGAATACTACATGAAAGCTCCCACATAATTGTATCATCTCAAAAATTACCATTGCATATGCAGATAGTTAACTGGAAAAATCATTTAAAGTTTCCTGAAGAAGTAAAGCTATCTCGAGAAGCGAAAGATATTACAAGCAAACTTCTTTGCAATGTCACCGAGAGACTTGGTTCCAACGGCACAGATGAAATAAAGGTGTTGTCTGGTGTGTCTTAAACTATGTTCCTGTATTAGATCTAAGGGTTAACTGCAACCGTAACCTCGTGGTTTCTTTTCTCTATTTCCTTTTTCACCGCTCAGGCCCACCCGTGGTTTAAAGGGATAGATTGGGATAAAATCTATCAGATGGAAGCTGCTTTCATTCCGGAAGTCAATGATGAATTGGACACCCAAAATTTTGAAAAGTTTGAAGAGGTATCCCTGTGCATCGTTCTCTTAAACTTTTAGTTTTAATTATTTCACTCATTTATGAAATCTTTTGGTTGGCGTCGCAGTCTGAATCTCATTCTCAGAGTACGTCAAGATCTGGTCCATGGAGAAAGGTATTCATTCTCATCATCATGTGGACATGTCATTTGATTTTACATTTTATTTAGGCATAATACATAAATAGACTCCTTAACTTGCACTCAACTGACAACTAAACATTCCAACTTTGAGAATGCACATCTAGACACCTCAACTAATCCCACTTTGTCTTGTGGACACCCGATGCTGACGTGGCATATGCATTTTGGAGGTGCCTAGATGACCATTTTCTAAGTCGGGAGTGTTCGATTAACACAGTGGAGACTAGTTGAGGTGTCTAGATGTGCATTCTCAAGGATTTCACAGTTTCTTGTGTGACCTTTGGTAATTCCTATTTATCTTATTCTTACCCATCATTTGTACAGATGCTCTCGTCTAAGGACATTAACTTTGTCGGGTACACGTACAAGAATTTCAAAGTCGTGAATGATTGTCAAGTGCCTGGAATGGGTACTTTCTTCATCTCTTCTTCTCCGTACGCATGTCCAATTAATCATGCTCCTCTAATAACATCTGAAAAATATCAAGCTTCATGTCCAATATGTCACATGTGTAAATTGGAATTGAAATTTCTAACCCACACATTCCAGCACAAGAAATCGAGAGGACTGTGAAAAGGTGGAACTGACTCCTGGCAGTGCTAAATTAAAGCAAGGATGGAACAATAAAATATATGAAGTTAATAATGTAACCATTTTGTATTCTCACTTTTTCATGGATGAATATTTCTTGAAGCCGACTCTTGCTTTTGCTCTCGTGGACCTGCTAAATCTTTCCGAAAAACTAGCTGTTGTGACCTGATTCTCGTTTGGCAATATTGTCGTTAGAGTATGGTATCACATTTGGCAGCTAGAAGTAGACGCTAGGATGAGGAAGACAGGTATCCAATTTCACGAGATCAAAGCACAATAACATAGTGAGGTTCTAATTTTAAAGATACATTATATGGTTGAACCTTGTTTTGTTAATTTCTTCTCGTAGCTGTTTGCTGCTTTTATTTCTCTTGCATAATACATAGATAGGCACTTTAACTTGGCCTCAACGAGGAACTAAACACTCAAACTTTGAGTATGCACATCTAGACTCCTCAACTTGTCTCCACTATGTCAGTTGAACACTCCAACTTACAAAATGATCATCCAAGACACCTCCAAAATTTATGTGTCCCATCAGCATTGGGTCTCCACGAGATACAGTGGGGACAAGTTGGAGTGTTTAGTTGCCAATTGAGACCAAGTTGAGGTATCTAGATGTGCACTCTCAAAGTTGGAGTGCTTATATGCAGTTCCATGCCAAGTTTGAGTGTTTGTACATGTATTATGCATATTTCTTTCTTGCGATAGTACCAACCAACCAAGCCATTAATTAAAGTTGAAGTCTTCTGAGTACTGAAACGTTAACGAATTTAGTATTCCTTGACAAAGTGATGCTAGTTGTTTGAAAATAAATTTCATTCCTTGTGGTTTTCTGTCATTCAATTCTCAATAATTGGATATCTGAGAGCCCTCAAACGTCTCGGACATCATGAGTATAAAGGACAATTAGTTGCTTTGCATTTACCTTCTTTATTTTTGTTGTATACGTTAACTTCTAGATGTTTTAAGTGTTTCTCTGGTATAATTACCCTTATATAGCTTTGACTTACGATCATCATTGACTTCGATGTTTCATTTTGTTTTTGACAGTTGATCTGGAGAAAACAACTGGCAAGCCCAAGAAACCAACAATTAAATCATTGTTTGGTAATACTTATCTATCCTTTTATCAATACAGTTTAGTCTCACTTGATTCTATTTGGAGTTCTTTCTCTTCTTGTCCGCTAGATTTTCTGTGAATTAAACGGAAGTTGTCTGTCAAATGAGTCTTGGTGAGGATTCTATCGGAAACAATCTTTCTACCTCCACAAGGTAGGGGTAAGGTTGTGTATACTCCACCCTCCCCAGATCTCACTTGTGTCTTGTGGGATTACACTGGGTATGTTGTTGTTGTTGTCATCTTGTGTTGTATTTTGCTTGAAACGCAACACTCACTATGAGGGGCGTATTCTACTATACTTCCTTTTGCTTCAACTCTTGAACTTTAGATTAAAAGAGGGCAACCCGATGCACTATGCTCCCATAATGCACGGGGTCTAGTGAAAGGTTGGGGACCACACTGGGTCCATTGTACCTGTTATCTTGCATTTCTGCAACATTATGTTTGTGACCTCCTGGCTAAAAAAACACACTATTTCAATTTGGAAACTTCAGTTAAGTGTGATCTTGTAAGTTTTGTCTTTCATTCAACAGGGGATGAGTCAGAAACATCAGAAGAGAACTCGTGATCAACGAAGGAGTTGCTTGAATCTCTTGCCTCAGCATCGTACAAAGTTCTGAAAAAGCTGAATGTAGCTACGCGTGCTCCTTGAATCTGCTCATTAGCGCGAATTAGTACAAGTTTTTGACAGTAAGTTAGAGTCTATATGATCTGAAATAACTATTTATTGAATTGAAAGATTTTGAGAGAAATAGGTTGTCTGTCTACTTGAAACAAGTCCTCTTTAGCATTTTTCAACAATTGATTGTAATTTACAATTTTGTTACAAGATTTAGATGTAATAATTAACATCTTTGATATTGTAAATCAATATTCTTTTGCAATTAGTGTTATAATCAGTGTTTAACATACAAATCATGACATTTCAATGCTAGTTTTCCTCTCTTAACCAGAAGTCTCATATTCGAGCCTTGAAAATAGAAAAACCCCATATAGCGAGTGCCTCCCCCTCTAATTGGCCTTAGATGAAGTGAATGTGGAGTAATCAAAACAGTGAATATCGACTATCATATGTTTATACCAATATATACACACTACAAAATAAACTGGAATTAGCTGCAAAAAAGTTGTAATTGTTGTTGTAGTTACATACAAGAATAATGTTGGGCTAATAGTTTGGTGAGGTGTATTCAACAACATATATATATATAAAAGAGAATCCTAGGCATGCCTACGTGGCGCCACCACAAACCAGGATTCCCTTTTAATTTATTTATTTCCAAAATTAGTCTTTCCTTTCATGAAAAGTTGTGACTTTTATAAAAAAGTTGCAGCTTTTACGAATAGTTGCGAGTTTTACAAAGAGTTGCGACTTGAGTTGCAACTTTTACGAAGAGTTGCGACTTTTATGAAGAATTGCGACTTTTATGAAAAGTTGCGACTTTTATGAAAAGTTGTGACTTTTATTAAAAGTTGTGACCTTTCCGATGAGACACAATAAACATTTATTCACACTACCCTTTGTTGTCTATAAATAGAGGGATTTCCTCTCATTTTAAAACAACGAAAAATTCTGGACTTCTTCTTCTTCTTCTGCACAATTAAATATTTGTATACTTTGATCATGTTGAGTGGCTCACTGACACCATTGTTTGTATATCAATACATTGGTGAATACAATTGTTCTATCCTGAGAGGATGGGGAAGAATTTCTTTAAGGGGACAATGTGCATTCAGTGGACTCAAGATTTTCCTTTCTATTTCATTCTATTATTATAGATCCTGATAAGTTTTTTACAGTCATTAATTTATGCTTATGCTATTAATTGTTGTTTTTGAGTACATGTGTTTATTGTTTATGTTTATGCTTTTGATCATTATGTTGAAGTAAAGATATGTTAATCAAGAGTTTGATGTAATCATTAGACTATTGGTGTCATGTTGATTATAATTCTTAAACTTGTAAAATAAATGACTTTGATCTTTATAGAGTTTCCACTGGCTAAAAGATCTATGGGATGTCCAAGAAGGGACTTTTGAGTGTTTAGAAGTTATGGTGGTTCCACACTACCTTGGAGTTTTAGTTATTCAACTTTCTATCTTATCGAGGCATTCCATCGATTAATGACATCCAAAAAATAAAGGAATGTAGTGGGATGGTAAGTATTTTACTCAACCTTAATCAAAAGTTTGGGGTTCAAATGTTGGATTGGAGTCAATGAATTACCCCTCAAAGTAGGATGAATCAATATTAATCAAATATTAATGAAATAATTATCTCCTTATAAACATTAGATTAAAAGTCGCAAATTTTATTTTTTTTACCCATATTGATTGAAACATAAAGAACAAAATATGACTTTTGGCTATCAAAGTAGTCTCATTGATTGAGAATGATTTTGAATAAGGGACTTGCCAGGAAATCATTTAATCCAAATTGTTTGAGCGACATACGTTATTTCATTGAACTCCAAGAGATGTGTTTTTAACATTTAATTAACTTATCAAGTACGCAACTAATTATATAAGATGTATAATATTTTGATTATGTATGTAGCCTTGAATAGGAGAAAAACTTTTGCAATTGATGAATTAAATGTTTGTACCACTTTTTGAAAATACAAATATAGACAATGAAACAATTACATATATTTTCTAAAGACTATGGTGATGAATAACTATAGTAAAATGAAGAATTAATAACAAAATGCATAAACACTTAGAATCAAATCTTTTTGGTTTTAAGATTAAAAAAATATTTCATTTCATCTTTGGGTAAAAAATTCTTGACAATTTATCCTAGGGTTGTACCCACTCGAAAACACTTATATTATCAAATGTTCAGAAGTAGATTATTAACGTAGTTCACCATCGCGCGAAGCGCAGACAATTTACCTAGTATAGACATATGTCATTCGACTCATGAGTCATGTCAAACTAAGCTAAATGACGATTCAATGTATTAAGCTTTCATTATTTATAGGGTTCAGAAATTTAATTTATTAAGCTTTTGCTATTTGTAGGATTTGAAAAAGGACCGAACCACATGAATGACACTATTGTGCCTAGGTGAGCGTATTTTTATGATATCCATATTGAGAATTCATTATAAATTAATTAGTATTAAGTTGACTATCAGCGTACTACAATCCTCTTTCTTTACTCGGGTTAAAGGAGTTATTAATTAAAATTCAAATGTAACAACTAACAACCATCAAACATTGCGATGGTAAGTATTCATTCATTTTTAATTCAAATTATCAGGTTGAGCTATAAGTATAAAATTATCTTTGATAGAACTTCATGTTGCAAAACAAATACCGGATAGGAAAACTAAAAATCAAAGAAGATTTAACAACTAAGACACACCAAAGTGTGCAGGTATTATAACTAAAAGTCACTAAAGATTGTGATGGAGTGATAAATATTCATTCATCATTTATTATATATCTCGAATTTTCAGTTCCAGTTCTAGATATAGAATTGTCTGTGATAAAAAAAATGTTTTACTCTCGAAATGAAATTTTTAATGTGAATCCAATTTAATCAAATTTCGATATAGATACAAAATTTCAGATGGTAAATCAAGAAAGATGTAATAACTAAAACACAACAATGCATTTTAATCTGATATGTAAGCACTACATAAAAAATTAATGACATTAATTTAATTGTTGTTAAATATGTGTTTTTAGCAGGAATTAACACTCGTTTGTAAATGTTCCTAAAACCTACAGTGGCATTGGATCTAATGCAAATAAACTAGGGAAAAAGGACAAATATACCCCCGAACTATCATAAATGGTATGCAGATACCCTCCGTCATACTTCTGGGACATTGGTGCCCCTGCCGTCCAAAAACTAGAGCATATATACCCTTTCTACTAACGGAGATACACATGTCATAATCTTATCCACCGACCCGACATTTATTAAATATCGGATCGACGGATAAGATTGTGCCACCTGTCCTATTTAGTCTTCTGTTAGAGTGACGGGCATATATGCTCTAGGTTTTGGACGGCAGGACACCCATGTCCCAAAAGTATGACGGATGATATTTGCACACTATTTACGATAGTTCAGGGATATATTTATCCCTTTTTCCCAATTAACTAATATCATTAAAGTCTTTAACATTCTTTATAAATGTATATATTTATTATCGCTAAAAAATATTTTCATTATAGTAAATACAGTAACATTACTTAACAAAATCCATGATTTAGAGGTTGATGAACTTTTTAGCACGAATATAAGTTAGTCGGATAATACCAACCATTAGGTTGGAAACTAAAATATAATGTAATAATTAATACACAATAAATCATGCATATGTAATAATTACTAATTGTGAAAGATTATAATGGGACGATAAGTATTTTTTCATATTTAGACAAATATTTTTAGTAATAAATTGTTTTTATATGAATTCAAATTTATGAAATACCACAACACATATAAGACACCTAATGATGGCATTTGTTGGGTTTCTGATAATGCAATTATTTTTTTAAAAAAGGACATGACAACACTAATCCAACACCAGCTGGGACCTTCATGCATTAATTACCACTGATACAATTAATTAAATTATTTCTTTGTCTTTTAATTTGTTGTTTACATTATGATTAGATACGAAATTAAAAAAATAAATTTTATAATTTTAAATTAAAAATATATACAATATCTTAAAGATTTTTTATTATCATAATTTTGAAATAAGATAAAAATAATTAAATTATACACACACAAATTTGCATTATTTCACAATTTTAAGTTTCTAGCTTCTAGGAGTTTGGCCATAAATAATTATTTTAATATTGGAGATATTAAAGTTTAATATTATTTAAAAATACGGTGCACATTAACTTGCATTCGACATTTACATTAAATAGTACAAAATTGTTAAATTTAAGTTACAAAGTTAGGTGAAAATATCTATCAATTAATTATTATTTAATGCAAAAGTATATTTTAATTTATTAGTATAAAAAGTATTGAAAGTAAGTAAAGTATTAATTCAATCACCCGTATTTTCTCTAGGAAAATATATTACTTAAAAAATGAGAAAATTGACTTCCTTAATAAAAGTAGAGAAAATAAGTTTCATCTATATAAATGACATTCCAACTTCATTGTCTCCTTCCCATTCATCCAACGCCTCCAACTCGGGACCCTTGACAACTCCACTTTTGTCATATTCGAACCCACACTCTCGTACCCCATCCTACCTCTCATAGCGTTTTGATAAATTACATATAAATGCGCTTCAAATGATGTTTTCTTTACTTACTTATTAAACTCCAAAAAATTAACATATGTTATGGACTTATGGTAGATGGTTGAAATTTCACTATACTTAATTAGATGTCTCAGATTCAAACCTTGAAAATCTAAAAAAATCTGTTGGGAGCGGCACCATAAGAAAATGACTAAATGAGTACAAATTCAAATTTAATCAGACTCCAATATAAATATGAGACATCTTATAGAAAATCAAAAAAAGAAGACAAAAATAAATATTTTATCATATTTTAATAAAACAAAACCCACTTTTTTTATATAAAAAAAACATTTTCCTTTGAATATTTTTTCCTTCACACCCAAAGCATTAAACCTTTCACCAAATCATCATTTGCAAGCAATTATAAATTAATAATCACTCAAAATCTTTACTATACTAATTAATATCCTTCATTTATATTTATAAATATATATTATTATAGATAGATATTTCTAATAGCTTCTTTACATTATATTATTCAACAACAACAATAATATGCTCGAGTTACCTTCATTAATGAAATTTGAAAAGGATGAAGTGTACATAAACGACTTTACTCCTAGTAGAGATGTTGTTCCCAAAAGACTTTCGGCTCATACGCAATAAATTAAAATAGTTATAAAAAATGACAATAAAAAAAAACATAACAACTAATAAGGAAAGAAGTACAATGCACTTTGAGAAACCGCAATAACAACTAAAATGATCCGACAATCAAAATATAACAAACAACATATGTTAATAAAAATCAAAAGCAAAAAACTACATAAATAAGATTAATACGACGATATATACGATACTTTAGACTCTCACCGAGTAAACTCCTATTGAAAATGAGACAACACTCAATTACACACTAACCTTTTATCTAACCTATGATTTTTATATTCTCCTTTCTAAAGTTATGTTTTTTAATAAATTAAAACTATAACATAATCTGTTTAATCAACTATTTTTCATATTCCTTTGATCTATTCATATCTTATAATATATGATATGGTGAAATAATATGCTAAAATAATAATACAATATGATATATTATGAAACGATACCGATCCTCCGACCTTCCAAACAAATTTGTAGAAGTATGTTAAACAAACAAAGACAAGAGAAAAAATAACAGAAGAAGATACAAACAAAAGAATATTAAATAATTCAAAATCAATCCTTCTTCTCTCTCTCTGTATGCTGCTTGCCTTTCCACAAAATTAATTTTTTTTTTGAAAATCTTTCTCTCTCTTCTCAATCTTCCCTCATTTGTCCCATCTCTTTTTTTTCTCCATTGCAAGAATTCTTGACCTTTTTTATATATTTTCAGCTGTCAACAGGAGCTTAAGAACACCCCAATACACTTTTTTTTTAAAATTTGTACATCTGGGGTTGCAGAAAGATTGCTTTTTTATTAATGGGGTGATTTTTCTTGTAAAGATAGGGTTTTTATTCATTGTTGGGTTATTTGGAGATGATGGGTGTTGGTATTTGTAGAAGGATGTAGCTGGACAATAATTTTCTTCAAATTTTGATTGATGATTTTTAGGCTTCATTTTTTTGAAAGTTGTGAACTATAAATTGATTTTGATCTTTAGGGGTGGTAATTGGATAGATGTATGAGTAGTTTTGATGGGGTTAATTGTTTCTTGGATTTTCTGGGATTTTTTGGCCAATCTAAGTGTGTGAAAATCTGAGAGAATTAATTACTTTGGCTGTTGAAATTGTTGTTGTTGGTGAAATTTCTGAAGTGGGGTTGTTGAAATCAGCATGGATCATGTTGTGGGTGGGAAGTTTAAGCTTGGAAGGAAGATTGGGAGTGGTTCTTTTGGTGAGCTTTATTTAGGTATGTCACTTGGTAGAATTGATTCTATGGTCAACCCCATTTCATTTGCTTTTGAATTTTGTGTTTTTAGAAGCTTTTTAGCTACTCTTTTGTGTTTCTTATGTTTTCTGCTTCTTGCTGCTTTATTGGTTCAGGTGTGAATATACAGAATGGAGAAGAAGTTGCCATTAAGCTGGTATTGTCTCTAGTTGCTCATTCTTACTCCCTCTGTTCCAATTTGTTTGTCTTAGTTTGTTTGACTGTGCATGGAGTTTTAAGAAAATAAAGAGACTTTTGAATCTTGTGGTCTTAAAGTAAAGATATGTATAATCTACCAAAATGTTCTTTACTCGTGTGGTTTTAAACATGTCACGGCGGATGTTGGAATTCAAGAGTTGCCAAATTAGGCATTCTTCTTGCAATAGACTAAAAAAGAAAGTAAGACAAACAAATTAAAATGGAGTGAATATTAATTTTTGCTGCTTAGTGTTTGGTTCATGCTGTTTAGTTGTTGCTACGCTATGTCTATGTAGTTATGGCAGTCTGAATAGAACACAATGGGTAGAGACTCTTAAGTCGGTGTAGAGATTAGAGTATGAAAGTTGGAGAACTGCTGAGACAAATTATTTATATTGGAATGCAATGAGTCGAAATATAAGGGAACAAATACAGATGATTCGTATTCATCCAAATGAAAAGATGATTCATATAGTTGACCCAGATTGAGTTGTAGTTGATTGATTGAATTATTGATATGCCATTTAGCTCCTCTTCTATTATTATTATTAGAGTTATAGCACTAAAATGGTAAGAAACAACTATTCTTCTGATTTTGCATTGCACTTACATATGGTAATTGTTTCGCTCTTCCTAAATCTTACGTATTGATTGCTTTCCTATTTAGTAGAACTGTTCATCTTATCTTATTACTGCAACTATCAGGAATCTGTCAAGACGAAGCACCCTCAACTTCATTACGAGTCAAAAATATATATGCTTCTCCAAGGAGGAAGTAAGTCTCTCTTCATGTCCTTTTCAATTTTTCATATCCTCGGCTTTCTATCAATGATGCAATTGTGTTGATTTCTCTGGAATACAATCAAAAGAAAAGGAGGGGAGTATTATATGCTATTTTTCAGAAGTTCAATTCACTGACCCCTTCTTCCCTAATTATGAGCATGAATGGGCCTTTTTATTTACGTATTTGGGTACTTTCTGTCCTCTTTTACATGACGTTATTCAGATTAGAAAATATTTGGTAGAATCAAAGTAGCAACCAATTAGTTCTATGTGTTTTGTCTAATCAATGAACTTTTGGGATAGGAATGTGATGAATAGAAAATTGACTCCTTATCTCTTCCATTAATTATGAAGCCGGGATTCCCAATCTCAAATGGTTTGGAGTTGAGGGCGAGTACAATGTGATGGTCATTGACCTTCTTGGACCAAGTTTGGAAGACCTCTTCAACTATTGCAATAGGAAGTTCACTTTGAAAACAGTTTTAATGCTTGCAGATCAACTAGTAAGTACATCTTTGTCATGCCACTCCTTTCAGAGATTAGCTTTTATATAACCGTTGATTATGAGTCTTGATGTAATAATCTTGCTGTATGTCATTTTCAGATTAATAGAGTTGAGTATATGCACTCACGAGGATTTCTTCACCGTGACATAAAGCCAGACAACTTTTTAATGGGCTTAGGTCGCAAAGCAAATCAGGTATTTATTCATGTCCTGTCAGAGTTTGAAAAAGCTTCTAATATATGTCATGTCAATATTCCTTCATGGCTTCACCTAAACCGGTATTGGTTCATATCTCTCTTTGCTAGTTCAGTTTTTAGTTCACATCTATTTCAAAAAAATAAAATTAGATCTATTTCTATTTCAAAAAAGTTCAGTTTTTAGTTCATCACTGAATGCCATATCAGTGCTGAAGTAAGAGCTTCAATGAAAAAGATATGTTGCATAATTTGGAAGTCCTTATATTGGAATAAAATTGATTCCAACTCTAATGACAGGTTTATGCCATCGACTTTGGGCTTGCCAAAAAGTATAGGGACCTACAGACTCACAAGCATATACCATACAGGTAATCACACTTCGTTACTTGACTGGTCCTTGCAGTTGTCCTGTTTGTCTTTCCGGATGCTAATTTCACAGCTTTATAAGGAAAAGGATGGTAGTTTTGATTCTCTTTCAGTGCTCCTAGCAAGTTTCCATTGTCGAGATAATTTTATGTTTGTTGCCTACTGTTTTTTTTCCTTTCTTGATATGTTCACTTTATATAGAGAGAGAGCATACTAGGATAGATAGGATCTGAATCTATTCGGGACAAGGTGGGAGTGGCCTCCGTGGTGGACAAGATGCAGGAGGCGAGGCTGAGATGGTTCGAGCATAGAGAGAAATTTAGTATCATTGCTAGTATTTCAGAAAATTTAGCCATGACTACTTTGATGGTATTACTCAAAATACATATAGTCACTAGAGTACTGAAATGAAGTTATCTCTGAAAATGGGATTTCACTAGATTTAGATTAGCAAAGTATGAAATTCAATCAATCTCCTACTGTATCCCATTAAGATTGTTGTAGCCAACTTTTTCTTGTTTCCAAGTCTTAGTTGAAAGGAAGAACCTACTGAAAGGTCTTTGCTATTGATGGCCTTGGCAACTATTGATTGTTGAATTGGCTGGCACTACTAGATTGTGTTATAAAATCTTCTATCGATCTAATTTTGGTTTTTCACTTTGTTTCTTTTCCTCAATTATGCATTCGTATCTGGAATGCCTCTGATGTGTTTTTTTTTTTCCAATATTCTTCCAGAGAAAACAAGAATCTGACCGGCACAGCTCGTTATGCCAGTGTCAACACACACCTTGGAGTTGGTAGGTGTATATCATTTAGGTTGTCAAATAATCAGGGGACTACTGAAGCTTTAGAGTCATTTCTAACTCACAATTTGTTTTTTTTTCTTGGCCAGAGCAAAGCAGAAGAGATGATTTGGAATCTCTTGGCTATGTGCTTATGTATTTTCTTAGAGGAAGGTAATTTCACCTTTTCGTTTTGGCATCTTTCTGTGGCTTCCTGATTTAAATTGTAGAGTTGTTTGCTGACCTGGTGATACCTTCTTGGTTCAGCCTTCCATGGCAGGGACTGAAAGCTGGGACCAAAAAGCAGAAATATGATAAAATTAGTGAGAAGAAGATGTTAACTCCAATAGAGGTACTTGTTATGATCATCAAAGCATCTTAATTCTGTGACACCATCATCACCATTTTTGAATTATGAAAGTATCTGTCATGACACCCCTAGCCATCCTTATGTCATATTATCTTGTCAAGCTATGATGGAAATTCTTCACTTCAACCTGGTTTCTGTTGAAGTAGAGATCACTCAATGTATTGATCCTGGCTATCCTAATAATATCTTGAGCTGGTTTTGGATGATATGTGGCCTTAGTTTGGGCTGTTCAGCTGTTGATTGCATTTTCTGCTAGCGATATGAATCATCTGATGAGACAATTCACACATGATTATATTTTACTGTAACAGGTGTTATGCAAATCCTATCCTTCAGAATTTATATCATACTTCCAGTATTGTCGATCATTACGGTTTGAAGATAAACCTGACTATTCATATTTGAAGAGGTTGTTCAGAGATTTGTTTATTCGTGAAGGTAAATAATACTCTCTCTGTCCCAATTTATGTGGCAGGGACAATTTATGTGGCGGTATTTGACTGGGCACAAAGTTTAGAAAAGGAAAGGAAGTTTTAAAAAAAAATTGTGGTCTAATACAAGACAAAAACATTTTTTTGGCTGTAGTCCCTCTCATCAAGGATAAAATGGAAAATTCAAAGTTAAATTGTTTCTAAATAAAGAAGTATAACATTCTTTTGGGACAAACTAAAAAGGACAAAATGAGTACTCTGCTTTTCTTTTACATAGTTTTGGGTCCAAAAGTTGTCTAATTGTAACCACTCAATTCTTGTCCTTATAGATGTGTATTTTAGTCTCTTAATCTTAATCTTTGACATTACACAGGTTATCAATTTGACTATGTTTTTGATTGGACCATTTTGAAGTACCCTCAGATCGGTGCCAGTTCTAGAGGACGAGTTAGTTCTTTTCAAACATTCCTTTGGATTATTACTTTTCACTCTTCTTGGTTATTATGAACGATACTAGTGCATTTTCTTGCTTCCAGCTTCCTGGTGGAAGTACCGGGGCTAAATGCTGGGCCATCTGCTGAAAGACCAGGAAGGACATCAGGTATTATAGCTGAACAGAAGTAGTGGATATTCTCAAAAATTACACTCTTTACTTTTTGTAGTTGCATTAATTAATTAAAGATGAATCTCAATAGGTTGGTTAGTTCCTTTTGGTCTTTAGTTATTTCGTGAGTGAAGAGTCAAAAACACACCTAAAAGTATTCCGTTTTTTCGAGTTTCATACCTGAACTATCAGGTGTGCTCGCACAAGTTTCCTACCTGGACTACCACCAACCATTTATTAAAACACACCTCAACTATCAATTGCTCCGTTTTCCTCCCTAAACGGTGGTGATGTTTCAGGTAGGAAAAAGGAAAATCTGATAGTTGAGATGTGTTTTGATAAATAGTTGGTGATAGTTCAGGTAGGAAACTCGCACACCTGATAGTTCAAGTATGAAATTCGAAAAACCGGGATACGTTAGGTGTGTTTTTAACCTTTTAACTCTTATTTCATCAAGACAAGGTTCAGAAACTATATCCTATCCATGAGTTCTTGTTCTAGATTTTGCATATTGTATAACCTGGAACATGTGTTCCTTGCTTCATGAATTATAAGTTTTCTGCCCCTTGCTGGAACTTCTGATTTTCTGAGATGCTTCATGAATATTATATGTGAGCTTCTCATGCTAAAGTTGAACAATGTTACTGCTGCTTCTGCCAATTTATCTTAGATTGACACTTGACAAAAATGTTTTAATTCTGTAATCCAGTCGGACAAGATATTCGAGACAGGTTTTCTGGTGCTGTTGAAGCATTTTCTAGAAGGAATGCTTCTGGTACGGGAAAGCATGGGGAGTACTCCAGACACAAGACTTCAGAGGATATGACTTCATCTAAAGATGTGGTATTGATCATTCCCTATTTTCTAAGAAAGAAAAGGAACCCAAAAAGATCCCTTTCTTCAATTCCATTTCAGAGTTGGAGCTGTTTTAGTTGTCTTATATGTTCTTGCATAGTGTGGTAACTTGCCAATCTTTGTACTTTTTTTAGAAGTAGCAACCACTAACTACTAGCTAGCCATCTGTTTAGAACTTCTTCATTTATAGGTGTGTATTAACCCTGTCTTCTAAAATAGTAGTAGAATAACTATGCCTCAATCCTGAATGAAAATCGTCGTGGAAGAGAAACTAAATTTATTAACTCATTGTCATATATTAGTTGTCTCCGTGTGACCCATGTAAGTCACGGGTTCGAGTGGTGGAATCAGCCACTGATGCTTGCATCAAGGTAGGCGGGTAACTGCCTACATTACACACTCTTGGGGTGTAGCCCTTCTTCGGATCCAGCATAAACATGGGATGTTTCTTTCACCGCGCTGCCTTTCTTTGAAATAGATGTATATATATTTTTCCTTTATGGCATGAGCCTCCCGATTACTGGGATTTAGCCAGGGTGGAGCTACAGGTATTGAAGGGGGTTCAATTGAATCCTCCTCATCGAAAATCATAATGTGTTCTTGTTTATATATATGAACCATTGAATCCCCCTCAACATAAGGGAAGCTTCTTGTGTAGTAGCATAGGTGGCAAAAAATTGCATTGTTTTAGGTCGTAGGTCTGAATTTCAGGTGTTGTGTTTTTGCATACTTTTAGTCCCCTATCTGTTTTTCCTAGTTCCGTCTTTGCATTTTGCTGGCTGGATTTTATGCTTTGCCTAAGTAGTACGATCAATAAATCTTCTTGTATGTTGCAGCAAGCTGATTCAGAAAGAGGCCGTACCTCAAGAAACGGAAGCTCTTCAAAAAGGGCTGCCATTTCTAGCAGCAGACCGAGCTCTTCTGGTGATCCCACCATCACTGATAGTCGGTCGAGCAGACTAGTGTCAAGCAATGGGCGTGTGTCTACCACACAAAGAATTCATCCAGGTATGGAACCAAAACCATCACCTTTCTCACGTAAGGGGACACGGGATGACCCTCTTCGGAGCTTCGAGTTCCTTTCAATCCGAAAGTAGAAAAAAGCATGTCACTTGTATAAAGAGAGAATTTCCTGTTTGTTTTGGAACATTGCAATCCTTTTAAGTGTTGTATATTGAAAATGTTTCTATGTGACAACTAAAGCTTATCCCAACTTCCAATTGTTCCTTGTTTTGGTTTTGATTTTAGAGCTTGAGTTCTGGCCATTTGTAAAAGCCTTTTGACTCATCCAAAGAATTGATGAGTAAAAAGTGCTAGAGTTTCATACATGTACACTCAGATGGTATGTATTATGTAATAAATATTATTATTGTACCAATGAATGTATCTTTTTTACTCAGTAGTAGGATGAACCTTTTATCGAACAGTGATGTTTGGACCAGTTTGCAAATATCTCAAATATTTCACCGAATACTTGTTATCTTTCATCAGCATACATGTATTAGGTAATCTTGTACACGTCCAACAAGGCTTAGACCATCTTGCATTTTCGGTTCTACCCTTTTCCCGAACAGAAAGTGTATGGACCAGTTCTTTGTAAAGGAGTGGCGGAGCTATGATTTTCACTGAAAGAGTTCTAAGCACACAAAAAAGTTAAAAGGGGTTTGGATGAACTCCCTCGGCCCTACTTAGTTTTGGCCCTGCCTGTTATCCATCAATTCTCAAACGTGCTGGCTTAATCCTTTGTTGCAGTCAAGGGAGCACAATACTACAAAATAAAATCTGCAAACATTTGTTATACATCTATTGATTTGGTGTAAATATTGAATGAGTAATTTTTGTGTAGAGAAGTAGGCAATTTTAATAATAAGCGCCGTCTCCAAACATATGATAATTAGTTGACTATTACCATTACAATAGGTTGACACAACCAATTTCAACAAGACAAGGTTAAAACAAACATCTATCTACCAAAAGTTCTGTAGCTTAGGTAATAGTTACACTGAATATTCTCACACAATGATCAGCTCCACAGGAGGCAAGCTGCACGGTCTCAGAATCTTCGCTCTTCTGAGGATTTCTCCAAGATAGTCGTTGAACAGTAGAGACGTGGCATAGAAATGGATCAAACTTAACAGCAGGAGAAGCATTTTGGACTGATAAATGCCCATCTCCTCTGCTATTCAGATTCCATAGTTCAATCAAGCCATTTTCCATTCCCACTGCAAGAAGCCCGCGATTGCTATGACTATCGAGACCTAACCAAGACAGGGCAGTGACACTAATTTTGAAAGGTGGAAGTGTTAACAGTAGCTTCACCGAGGTTTCAGTTTCCACAGCCCATATTTTGACAGTCTTGTCCCTTGAACCAGTAGCAAATTCATGACCAAATGGGTTCCAAGAACATGACCATATTATTCTTTTATGTGCTTCTTGCTTAGCTACGAGCTGGTAATTGATCTCATCAGTTCCTGTATAACACAAAGACGAGTTTCAGCACATGGCAAAATAAAAACTTGAACAAAAAGTTTTATCACAAGCTAAATACTCTCCTAGCTTTCAAAACTTCTCTACAGATTTTCAGATAAAGGCAAAGCTGATAAGTATCAAACCTTTATGATTAATTTGAAAAACAGAGAAGTGGCGATCTCTTGAAACAGCCAAAAGATACTGGTTATCATGAGAGAACTCCATTTGGGTCACTGTTAAACTATGAGACTGCAAACGACCAACGGATTTCCAAGAACCAACTTGCCAAAGCCATATTTCAGCAACCGGTGCTGATTGAGCCTGCAGGATTGTATATCACTGGCATAATTAGTATTCACAATTAATTAAGAAAATAAAATACCCAATGTAATCACACAAAGTGTTGTCTAGGGAGGGTAGAGTGTACGCAGACCTTACCCTTACCTTGAAGGTAGAGAGGCTGTTTCGGATAGATACAATTAATTAAGAAATTAAAGACTATTTTCAAAACAAAAGAATATCATTAGAAGTTGAAAGGAGTATCTAGAAGAATATTGTGAATTCCGTCAAGTGTCGCTATAGTTCACAAAGGTCTCTAACAACGTAAAGAAGTTTCCTGAGGTAATGCGCATCACCAGTAACTTAAACAAAATGAGCAGATTGACATTTGATTTCTCATAGGAGTACGAACGCCGCAGGATCAAACCCAGCTACTCCTCAACTAGCCCCCACACCAATAAAACAGAGGCTTATCATGGTCAAGATATTGAAGAAAACTAACACCATATATAGATTGGAGTAGCATTCTTTCAACTTTTAAATCGAAGCATATTAAGACCAGAAACTAAAAACCAACTTTATCAGGGCACTTACAAAAGTATAACCAAGTTGATGCTATAACAAGAGACTCAATCAAAGTTTATGGCAAGGAAAAACCATGTGTCAACATGTTACCCAAAAAGAAGGGAAAAGAAACAAGGGAAAGGATGTTAAACCTTGCAGGATGAAGCTACAAGCTTTCCATCATGATCACAACATAGAGAAAAAAGCTCATTCCCATGACCATAAAGTTTGTGTGATTCGGGCCATAGAGTATGCCATGCCAATTGCTCTTCAATAGGTGGCTCTGTCAAGACAACTGGAACTGCTTCAGGAACAGTTTCTAGAGTATCAAAACCTTCCGTATTGCTTCTGTCTGTTGGTGTCGATGCTGCTGCAAATGATAGATTTAGGTGTATCAGATATTTAAAAATATAAGGGTCTTCGAAGGAGCCATTCAGGATAATCTCTATTTGTATCAGAACACTGTGCATGAGATATCACAGCTCTTTAAGCAAAGTTGAAAAAGACTCATTAACACATCAAATTAAGCCTAATTCAGTATGTGGTTAACAGAAGGTCCTTACAGTTAATTTTGACAGGTCAACAACTCAGTTATATATCACCTTGTAACATCAAAGTGATGATGGAAAAATAAATGAATATCTTTTATGTTAATATGCAAAAATGATATCACACAGTAGACTAGAAAACTCACCCTGAACATAAATAGGTTTCTGCGATAGACCTAGAGCAGACATATTTGCGCCTAATATCTGCACATCAGCTTGAATGTCAGCAGAAAAACTAGAGTTGTCTGATGTAACATGGCTCAACGTTTTCAGAAAGGATAGAGGAGATTCAAAAACTCTTGCAACTTTCTCGTCTGCCCCGCCAACAAAACGATGATTTCCTTTTCCTTTGATTACTGTGACACAATTTATGTCATGACCATGAACTTGAGGGCGAGCAATTTCATGCCAGGATTCTTCATTCTCTACGCTTGTATTGTTGAGCCAAGGAGCAAATACTCTAGTAGTCTGCCAAAAACTAAAGATTGAGCCCAGAAGATCGATAATTTATTCATTAGAAGAGAGTATGAAATAGGGAAATAAAATTCATGGGTACTTGACCAGGTATGCAGCAGAAGAGAAAGCAAGAGATAAAATGCATGGATACTTGACCATTATGAACCCCAGTTCAAGACTAAGCATGTTTAATATTTCCAAAAGCTGGAAAAAATTGCAAGTTCAAAAAGAAAATCAGTAACTTGACAAAGCAGTAATATTGCCTACTAGAGCTCCTTCCAAAATCTTTACTTCATTGACTCGTATAATTTAAACACAACAGAGAAGGAAAAAGAAACAACTTGTGGAAAAGGATAACCAAAACCAATTAACAGGTTCAGAGAACTTGTTCACCGTAATTGTTTGCTGATTAGAAATCAACCTACAGCTTAAGGACATATATTGAGTTTCCACAGCGATGAAGTCATGGTAGTGCGTAGCAGTGAGCCTACAGCACAATCAGCATATTGGATAATTTTCAAATTTTAAGCGTAGTCCATCGCTCAAAGTTCATCAGGTAAACCAAAACAATGTCTGATCTAGCTATAGAAGATGTTACAGGCAAAACAAAATGCATGGGGTCCCAAACAGCTTACAGTGAAACTAAAATCCCATCTGACAATTCTCATGAGCGCACTAACACAAAGAAGTGATACATATCCTTCATCTTAAAGTATCCACAGTACACCTTTGTTAGTAATGGTTAAGAACACCATCCTTGGAATGATCAGTAATCCCTAAATATTAATGATGGCCTACTTAGGAAGTGGACAACATGTTTTGTGCAATAAGAAATGGACTAGTCTTTCCCTTGCTGATTTATTTGTATTTCTCCTAATTGCAGCAGCGACAAAACCAATTGGACTAATATCACCTCTCACGATTTTGCATCCTAGCAAATGCATTTAAGATTAGCTTTTCTACAACTTTGACACTTTGTCGCATGGAGGAAATTAGAACAAATATATTAGAGATGCTAAGGATACTTGGGAAATGAGTTAATAATCTATACCGAGATAAAGTAGCTGCAAATATTATTTCGGTGAGTGAACCAGAATGGTTGACACATTCAGCAACAACAAGATGGAAAAAGTTGGGTTAGTTAAGAGATAGCAAGAAGTCAATTAAGAGGCTTAACATAACACCCATGACTGCCACAGCCGGGAGCCATAAGCCCCATAGGTGCATTATGTGTAGGATGATTTGTGAGGAATGCTAGGATTTCCAAGGGAACAATTTTTTTTTCTGTTGAGAATGTGGAAACTATTGCTTTTTTATCTTCACAAGGTCATTTCCCTCTTGGAATAACATTTACTTGGTCAATTTGTAACCATCAAAGACAACAATTCAAGAATGCAAGGTGTTGCTGAATGTGCTATTTCAGGCATCTAGAATACTTCAAGATCATTTTCCTTCAGAACAACATATATAAGGGATATGTTTGTTCTATTAACTTTGACAGCATTGTTTAAGGCGATAAGCCTCTTCCATGATGTTACCCTGACCAATCTGCAGTAACATTGAAAACTCTATTTACCTGATAAATGATAATATACTTGATTTAGTTTATGTACACATTCCACTTCATTGTAATATTCTACCTTGAAAAAAAAGCTCATTTTCTTTGTTATTTACTGGGTAACTAAAACAAAATTTCTTTGCTGTTAACAAGGTGTTCATTAGGTGGGAAAATAAACAATGTCACCATTCTGCTCACAAATAGCTTAAATCAACATATACCATTCCAAAAAATTGAATTTCTAAGTGCAATAAGATTACCTGATCATGACTGACAGACATCATATATTCCCCACATCTAGCCCAGGCGATGTCCGACACTGCAGCAAAGTGTCCGGATGGAACTTTTTGTGGCTTCCAATCATCATACTCAATACCAACATTTTTCCAGAGGTGAAAAGATCCACCATATCCATGAGCTAAAATAGAATCTGCATTTGGACTCCAGTGGCCACCATAAAATCCCAGAGCACAGTGACTTAATTCCCCAACCGTAACTACATTCATCCAGATACCAGTTGTCTTTTCAGGTTGCCAGATCAACATTG